CCTAGTGGTGATGGCCTGAAATTGAGAACGGTGCCTAAGGAAGACATGAGGAACTATGGACCTAAGTTTGGTGTCAATCGGACATACCAATGTGGAGAAATGGTCCACTTCCTTTTTTGACGAAAAAAAAAGTCTTAATTTTATAGCGTGCTTACTTTTTGAAATTTCAAAAATGTTCAAATTACTTTTTTTGCCAGGGCAGTCCCCAGATGCTAGGTGAAAAAATTTGGTGCGAATCGGACTTAGGGTGTAGTAGGAACACAAAAAAGTAGTTTAAGGACATTTCGCACTCTAATGGAAAAAAATTATAGGCGGATATAGGAGGTTTTTGAATGTGCGACAAACTATGCAGAAGTTATTAAGTAACCAAAAAGTCAAAATACTTTTCTCAATAGTAGCGCCACCTAGTGGCAGACCCGAAGGCGACGCATCTAATATCCCCATTTTCACCAGGCCTGACACCTTTGCCAAATAAAATTTAGTATTCGTATATGTTCAGGGGGGCGAAAATGCAGTCAAAGGGGGCTAAAAATAATAGGTAAGAAGAAATCGAGCAAAAACAATAGGGACCTCCAGCGGTCGCCCTAATAAATGAGTCATTACTAGTTTTGTGCCGTTCACCAGCTCATTCAGAGTCATTATGATAGATTCATAGGTATTCATGAACTTATCATTACCTTCTAATTTATTAATATAGTCTGTTCTCTAGTAACAGATCATTATCTACTTATAGTCATCCATAAGGAATTAATAGGTAAGTACCTATTATCAAGTCATTCCTGATTTGTTACTCACTCGTTTTTTAATTAACTAATCATTGATTAATCATTAGCTATGCTATAAAATCTGAAGATGAGTTACTCATTAATGAATGGTTCCCTAGCAGTTAGTTGCTCATTTATTCCTCATTTCTTCCTTGGTAACTACTTTGTGGCCCTTATTGTAAAGTGTTAGCTAGATTATTGGTGTGTTTTATCTGCCAGATTTTCATGTGAACAGACCAGTTGGTTAACATGGGCACTAAAAGAAAGCAGGCATGAGAGCACACAGAATTTGTCCAGATATGTGTACCAGCAGAGAGAGTGGTTTGTAGTAGATAATGACTCCTTGTGACCCAAAGGTCCAGTTTGTAAAATTTAGTAGGCTCTATTGGCAGAAATGGAAGATAATATTCAAAGGTATGTTTTATAAGTGTATAATTCAGAATCAGAATCAGAATCAGAATTTTGTTTATTGCCAAGTTTTTACGCCTACGAGGAATGTGACCTGGTGCAGTTGGTGCATAAAATATACACATATACAAATACAAATATACAAATATACAATTATTCAAATCACACAAAAATCACAAAGAAGAAGAACGTGGGTGCATTAAAGTAATGCATACTTTATATACAGGGTGGGTATAAGAGTCAATGACAGTGGGTAATCCGGGCCTTGTTAAGGAGGCCAGCTGCAGACGGGAAGAAACTGTTTTTATGGCGAGACGTTTTAGTCCTGATGGACCGCAGCCTCCTGCCAGAGGGAAGTATCTCAAAGAGATTATGACCGGGGTGGGAGGGGTCATCCACAATCTTACCTACACGCTTCCTGGTCCTAGAAGCATACAGGTCCTGGAGGGATGGCAGATTGCAGCCGATCACCTTCTCAGCTGATCGAATGATACTGTGTGAAGTTCATCTATTTTCAAATATGTTATGTTGTCTCCTACTATTTTATAATGTTGGGAGTTCATAGCGCCCTCTAGCAGCAGCAGTCCACCTTGTAATTTTTTTTCTCTGTGATTATTCTTACTTGCTGTGCTTCGGTTTGACTGGTGAAGCCGAGCTGGTGAGTTAATATGTATACAAAGTGTTTGTAACTTGAGTTAAATATCATAAATATGTCCGTGCCATTAATGTAGCGATGTTGTTTATATTTTGTGTTTTCCAGTTGATTACCTGCTGACGGCACGATCACTGTTTAAGTGCTAAAAGAAAAGCATGTGTGGAGTTGCTGGTAAAAAGAAATAAACACGTGGAAAAGACAGAGATTGAGTGTCGGAGCTGAGTGTGACACTGTTTCGCCGGTCAAACGCACCCCGTGCGGTGTGATTTAGTTTAATAAAACCGTACAGATACGCTGCAGTCTGCCCTTGTCCTTGGCAGTGGCCGCAGCATACCAGATGGTGATGGATGAGGTGAGGATGGACTCGATGATGGCGGTGTAGAAGTGCACCATCATCGTCTTTGGCAGGTTGAACTTCTTCAGCTGCCGCAGGAAGTACATCCTCTAATGGGCTTTCTTGGTGAGGGAGCTGATGTTCAGCTCCCACTTGAGGTCCTGGGTGATAATGGTACCCAGAAAGCGGAAGGACTCCACAGAGTCAACTGGGGAGTCACACAGGATGATCGGGGCGGGTGGGGCTGGGTTCTTCCTAAAGTCCACAACCATCTCCACTGTTTTTAGAGCGTTTAGCTCCAGGTTGTTCTGACTGCACCAGGTCACCAGATGGTCAATCTCCCATCTGTAGGCAGACTCATCTCCACCAGAGATGAGCCCAGTGAGGGAGGTGTCATCCGCAAACTTCAGGAGCCTGACGGACTGGTGACTGGAAGTGCAGCTGTTAGTATACAGGGAGAAGAACAGAAGAGAAAGAACGCAGCCCTGAGGGGATCCGGTGCTGATGGTCTGGGACTCAGAGACATTTTTCCCCAGCTTCACGTGCTGTTTCCTGTCAGACAGGAAGTCTGTGATCCACCTGCAGGTGGAGTCAGGCACAGTGAGCTGGGAGAGCTTGTCCTGTAGCAGAGCAAGGATGATGGCGTAAACGCAGAGCTGAAGTCCACAAACGTAGGCGTAGGTTCCTGGGGAGTCCAGATGCTGGAGGGTAAGGTGCAGGGCCATGTTTACTGCGTTGTCTACAGACCTGTTGGCTCTGTAGGCGAACTGCAGGGGGTCCAGGAAAGGGTCCGTTATGGCTTCCAGATGGGAGAGCACAAGGCGCTCAAAAGACCTCATGACCACAGAGGTGAGGGAAACAGGTCTGTAGTCATTTAGTCCTGTGGTCCTTGCTTTCTTGGGGACAGGGATGATGATGGATGCTTTGAAGCAGGCTGGCACATGACATATCTCCAAAGAGGTGTTGAAGATGTCAATGAACACCGGAGACAGCTGGTCAGCACAGTGCTTCAGGGTGGATGGAGAGACAGAATCTGGTCCGGCTGCTTTGCGGGGGTTCTGCCTCTTGAAGAGTCTGTTGACGTCCCTCTCTTGGAGGTAGAGAGGTAGAGAGTCGTTGCTGTGGTCACACAGAGGTGTGAAGCTGTGAAGTGGCCCCAGCTCCTGCTGGGCTGGGGGGGGTAGGGACTGATGAGGTGGGGCTGGTGAGGGGTGTCACGGGGGAAGGTGTCAGGACTGCTCCTTTGTCTGTCGAAGCGGCAGTAGAACTCATTCAGCTCGTTTGCCAGGCGTAGGTCATTGATGGAGTGGGGGGGTTTGGGCTTGTAGTCTGAGCCCCTTCCAGACAGAACCAGAGTCATTGGCTGAGAACTAATGTTGAAGTTTCTCAGAGTACTGTTGTTTAGCTTCTCTCACCGCCTTGCTAAGCTTGTACTTTGACTCCTTAAACTTGTCCCTGTCCCCACTCCTGAACGCTTGCTACTTCTGCAACCGTAGCAGAATGAGTTTGGCTGTGAACCAGGGTTGTCGTTGTTGTAACTCACCCTGGTGCGTGATGGTACACAGCAGTCCTCACAGAAGCTGATATATGATGTCACAGCCTCTGTGTACTCATCCAGACTTTCAGTAGCAGTCCTGAACACATCCCAGTCAGTAGAGTCCAAACACGCCAGGTTTGCAGAGCTTTAATTTCTGCCTGTATGAAGGAATCAGGTGGACCATGACGTGGTCAGAGAGGCCCAGTGCGACGCGGGGGATGGCGTGATAAGCTCCGCTGACTGTAGTGTAACAGTGATCCAGTATATTCTTCTCTCTGGTCGTGCAATAAATAAACAGTTTATATTTTGGAAGTTTGTGACTTAGGTTTCCTTTGTTAAAGTCACCAAGGACAATAACTAAAGAGTCCGGGTTAGTGAGCTCCACACACAGTATCTGGTCGGCGAGCATGCACTGTGCCTCCTGCATGTTGGCCTGTGGTGGAATGTAAACATTCATTCAATACAACAATTCATTTAGGAATCGTGTTTTCATGACCAAAATGAGCCATTTTTATCTACTGACTGTGTCGGTATCCTTCTGGAGAGTGCACCATGTTGAACCGTCATGTTTTTACAGTAGAACAACAAACCAGACACTGGTTGTAGTGTGGTAGATGAATGTTTTAGGAGGGGGAGTTAATGTATACGGTTTGGTTAGGGGGTTGTGAACGCTGCAGCACGAGTACTGACAGGAACTAGAAAAAGAGATCACATCTCTCCTGTACTAGCTTCTCTGCATTGGCTCCCTGTAAAATGTAGAATCGAATTTAAAATCCTCCTCCTCACCTATAAAGCTCTTCATGGTCAGGCCCCTTCATATCTTAAAGAGCTCATAGTACCCTATTACCCCTCTAGAACACTACATTCTCTGAATGCTGGGCTACTTGTGGTTCCTATAGTCTCTAAAAGTTGAACAGGAGCCAGTTACCAAGCTCCTCTCTTGTGGAACCAGCTTCCATTTGTGGTTCGGGAGGCAGACACCCTCACCACATTCAAGAGTAGGCTTAAGACATTCCTCTTTGATAAAGCTTATAGTTAGGGCTGGATCAGGTGAGTCCTGAACCATCCCTTAGTTATGTTGCTATAGACCTAGACTATCAGGGGATTTCCCATGGTGCACTGAGCTCCTCCCTTCCTCTCTCTTTCTGCACTCATTCATGTCCCATTAATGCATGTTACTAACTTCACTTCTTCCCCGGAGTTCTTGTGCTTTCTCGTCTCGCAGGTTCTTGTCGATCCTGGTGGAGCCTCCTGCCATGGTCCTGCTATATAACCACTGCCAATACTGTTGTTGCTGTGCACCTGTCTGTCTGTCTGTCTGTCTCTCGCTCTCTCTCTCTCTCTGTCTCTCTCTCTCTCTATCTCTCTCTCTCTCTCTCTCTCTCTCACCCCAACTGGTCGAGACAGACGACCACACACCTAGAGCCGAAGGATCTGTCCGAGGTTTCTGCCTTTTAACAGGCAGTTTTTCCTTGCCCTTGTCGCCAAGTGCTTGCTCATGGTGGTGCTGTTGGGTCTCTGTAATTAATGTTTTAAAGAGTTCGGTCTAGACCTGCTCTATTTGAAAAGTGTCCTGAGATAACCTCTGTTATGAATTGGCGCTATACAAATAAAATTGAATTGAATTGAATTGAATTGAATTGTACCTCCACACAGAGGAAAAAAATAATAATAATAGTGGAAGGGCTGTTTCTATACTATATTATACTATAGGCTACATACTTACAACCACAAGTAATATAATCCAAGTACAATGACTATGCTCCAGCACCAGGCTGTACAAACTAAAGTTCTGTGGTACCTGCCTAGACAGTCGTTGCTGTACACCAAGCACCACCATTATAGCCAAGTTCCACTGTCCAGAAGGAGATGTCTTCACTAAGAAGATGATGTTCATCAAGACCTGTTCCTGCCATCACGATTGTCCACAAGATAATGACATCTTTCTAACTTTATCCTTATCTTTATTTATTTATATTTTAAAAAGCACTTTATATTTGTGTGATTTTAATGCACCAAGACAAATTCCTTGTACATGTAAAAACTTACTTGGCAATAAACCCAATTCTGATTCTCTGATTCTGATTCCTAGCGTCCAACACTTGGAGGATGATTGGGGACTATGATAACAATATGTGACAGGAGGGTTTTATAAAAACACACACACACACACACACACACACACACACACACACACACACACACACACACACACACATTTACACATACAAATTAGGACAGCATCCACCTCTATCCTCAACCCTTACAACTATATGCCTAACCTTCAGTGAAACATATATAAGCACCTATTAATATGTCACCGAAGTCCATCACTGAAGAACACCGTAAGAAGTGGTTAAACCTTCAGACCTGGTGGATCACTGAGCCTAGATTATTTTTCATACACTGTTCCAAAGATCAAAATTAGATTCCATGCTCAAAGATAAATTATATCTTCACTTACAGCAGACCAGACTACAATGCATTTTCTTGAGTTTGACTGTAATCTGTAACTAATGGCTTCTATATTTATTCTGTATTTTCATATTGTTGAATTGTTTTATTTTAATCTAGAGATATTGACATAATTAAGTTATGATCTGAAGACTATAAAAACATTACATTTTGGATGACGGTCTTAAAGATGAAAAGGAAGACCTCAACAACATAATTTGTGATCTTGAGATAACAAGATAGTGTAAACAGGTGTCAATTACGGGATAATGGTAAATGCTGAAAACTAGTTAACAGTAGCACATGTAGAGAAGTAAAATCATAAAGGAAAAAAAAAAACGGACTCAATGTTACGAAACAATATCTACTTGAAATTTGCCTGCATTTGCTACCATTGGCCACCATCAGCTATAAGGTACCAAACAAGGCTGTAACAGTAACATTTTTCAATGTCAAAAAATGAATTTATCACTTGTGGTGAAGTTTGTTGTTCTTTTAAATATCATGTAGCTGGCCTTTAAGTCATAATCTCAAGACAAAACAAAAAACAGACTTGAAAAATCTTAAGCAAATATGGCCACACTCTGCATACATACAGACAAGTTGGTTGGCAAGCTATGTGAACGTCTCAATGACAAAAGAGGTTGAAGTGGAAACAACAACAATAGATAATCATAGATAACCTCAAGCAACCCCTGCTCGTGCTCAGATTTGCTTTGCTTGTGTTCAAACTGTGTGCATGCACTCAGATATATTGTTGCTTGCACAGATTTTCTGCACTTGCACTCATGCTGATTATGTGCACTCGCAAAACTTCTGCTCTCGGATTTCTGCTCTACTCTGAGATTTTTTTTGTGCAAGGACCTCAAATGAACCCTGTCAAAATCCCCCACACTGGAAAAAAGGCCACTCCAAAAATAAGCAAAAAAATCTGCCAATGGAACAAGTGAAAATTCTCTTGGTAAGATTTCTTGAAATAAGACATATTTAAGCGTTATAAGATAAGAGTGATCTTGAAATTAGCTGGGAAAACTAATTTTTAGCTATATTTTACTAGTATTGTGATGTTTTGTGTCTCATAAGCTTGTGATGCTGAAAAATATTTTCCCCTCAAAAGTAGCATTTTTTTTGTCATCCTGTTTGTTTCAGTGTATTTAACTAATTTTTAGTTCTATAATTGTTACACTTTTCTAGATTTAAATCCACCACCTACTTGAAATGAGATTAGAAACTGGCATTTTAAGACAAAATGTCTTGAAGTTAGCATTCCTGACTCGTATTTGGCAGTGCTCTTTTGCCATAAAAAGCCGTAATTTACCATCCTGTCATCATCTCAAGTGTATTTACCTTATTGTAAGCTCTACAAAAGTAATACTGTTCTAGATTCAAGAGATTCACCTACTAGATTAAAGACATTAACTACTTCTTATAAGACAGAAAAAAGGAAAACTAGTCTTGCATTTAACCAACTTTTTTTTAATTTAAACAGCAAAAAGTCCCGGAGGACTGCATAAAAGGGAAACAGCTTTATTTTTCTCAACATTTTGGCTCACAGTATTTATGGAACTTCAATATGAAAACATAGCAGAACATGCCAAATATGTGAGTGAGTTAAGGTCAGGTCCAAACATCTGACCAATGTGCCCCTCAATACACGTACAAAATCTGTGCTTTACACAGGCACACTTAAAGCATATAGACACACTAGGCACACTAAAACTGCTCCACCTGTGACATTGATTCCTAATACAAATGCTTAATATTGTAACATTCAAATTAAAGGTTCTGGGCTTACATGAACAACTAGTCCCTCAATACACCATTAACCATTGTAACATCATCATTAAGGATGCACCATACTGGACTTTTTGCCGATATCCAATATGTTAATATTTTACAACTCAACTGGACAATAACCGATACCGCTATGTTCACTTTTATCCCAACCTAACTGCTTAGTCAATTTACTCTTTCACAGTAGATGCGCCTAAATTAGTGACTGCATCTGTTGAACAATGAATTGTTTAAACTCAATGTTAACTGAAAAGTTAAAATAAACTTAAAACTAAGCAGAATCTTCACTGAATTATGCAATCAACACACACAAAATATTACATCACATCACAGGATATCAGCATATTGGCTGGGCTAACTTAGCCAAATTCTGACCAAGAATCAATAGCAATGAACATGGACTGTAGTATCCTTAGAGGGAGAGAGGAAGTGCTATCCTACACCATATCTGACCACTGGTTTTATTGGCCAATAAAAGCTTTCCACTCAGCTATGCTCTTCTTGTAAGACGATGTGAGATCTCTCACATGGATTTTGTCTAAGAGGACCTCCGTCTGTATGACTGAAAGCAGAGTGGCTACACACTTTGGATAAGTCAGGTGTAGGGTATAATAGTAGGCCATAAGGTATAAAGCACTCTTGGTAAGCTTGTCTTTTGGAAAGGTGGTTATTGCCACATCTCCTACCGCTAGGAGGCATTTGGACGGACTGACAATCAGGACTGGGCAGGAGAGAGGGCATTTCTTCAAGTAGGAATTGGGGTCTTCTGTTTCCTGTAACACATAACACAGATATCCTTCTGTCAGGATAATGCATTTTGGTCATTTGGAACCTAGGGTAGAGGGTTGTTTACAAACACATAACTTTACAAAGCAAAATTCTGACAAAAGTTACAGTACTGAGAAAGCTCCATCTGAAAGTGCTGTTTTTAACTACCCCCAATGCATTTACTGTACACACTTCTAACCTTCCCAAAGAACTAAAAACCAAGGCTAGGCTAGTCTTGCTTGGTTATCATTAGGGTGATAAAACCTGCTACCATGTAATGCACCCATTTTTATTCATACTGTGACATCTACCCAGTGAAAATCCTCTTTCTAAAAACAAATGTTTTAGGTGTCTTTGAAGACTTAGAACATACAGTATGTGAATAGGAAATACATTGGGAGTCGTCAGGGGCAGCACCTTCAGTTATATTTTTTTCCGATACTGCAGTCAAAATGATCCTGCAACATTTTACAAAGCTCACCTCGAGAACATGCACCAGAGCCTCACTCGCATCTCGTACCCTCTTTGGAGGAGCAGACGTGGAGGGGAACAGTGATGGCGGCACACGTAGGATCTCAAGAGCCTGTTCATCTGTACAGGAAAAGATTCATTACTTAAACACTTGGACAAAGTGCACAAGGTCAAATCTGATCGAAAGGATCACAACGGACACAATGCTTAAAAAAAAAAAAAAAAAACATTATAAAATAATGGGATAGCCATCATAGATGAAAAAGACGGACGACATAACACTAGCTCATGTACTTGACAATTAACATGCCTGAAGGGCCACCCTAAACCCTATTCACTAATAACACCAAAACAGCATTCCCTACCTTTGTCCAGGAGGCTGTGGCTCAGAGGCAGAGCAGGTCGTCCACTAATCGGAAGGTTGTTGGTTTGATCCCCGGCCCCTCCTGCCACATGTCGAAGTATCCTTGAGCAAGATACTGAACCCCAAATTGCTCCCGATGCTGTGCATGTGTATGAATGTGAGTTTCTGTTCGATGGCCATCTGTGTGAATGTGTGTGAAAAGGTGAATGTGGCAAGTAGTGTAAAAGCGCTTTGAGTGGTTGGAAGACTAGAAAGGCGCTATACAAGTACAGGTCCATTTACCATTCTCATTGGGGGTTTCAGCGCCTTTTTCCATACACCAAAAAACTGCACCTTCTGGCAGAAGTCATGCCATCTTCCCTTCAATTCATAGATGAATTATGAATGAAGTATTATCCTCATCCAAAATGCATTGAAGCTCCTCGATCACCTATGAAATATCAAATATACCAATACAGACATTTGAATATATAATTTAAGAGGAAATTGGTATTTTAAACATTGTGTCTACACTACTTGCCATGGTGTGTGATGCCATGGTTTTAATCATACACAGTCAATAATGACT